CGGGTGCCAAAAATAAAAAGATCACCGGCTATACTGTCTCTGTTACAAACAGTTGCTGCTAGTCTAAATAATCCCCTGAAACGTCTAATGCTTGCATACCAGGGAAGCGTTTCAGAGGAAAATAATTCCTTTGTACTCCAGCTGGCAAGCAGATGCCAACCAGGAAAAAATGCCACCTCCACCCAGGCTGTGGGGAGGAGAGCGGGCAGTGCCGGGCATGGGCAGCACCAGGCATGGCCAGCCAGCTGGCAGCCAGCCTTCCTCCAGCTCCTGCACCCTGTCTGCGCTGGGGAGCCGCGGGGCTGTGCGTCCTGCAGAGTATCGGCAGAGCCTCAGCAAAGTCACGGCGCTGGGGGTTGCTGGGCTTGGCCATGGGGGACCGCAGTGGCCAAGCACAAGAGGAGCTGAGCCAGGATGGGTGCGGTGCCAGCCCCAGACCACTCTGCCCACTGCAAGCCAGTTTACCATGGCCAGGGATGCCAGGCAGGCGGTTGCATCTCTATCCACGCTGGGGCCGGCAGTGCTGTTAGCCAGGAGTCAGGTGGCGGTGGCAGGCTCGCACTGGGGGACAAGCCGCAAAAGCCGTGCCAGCGGCAGGCGGCTGGTAGGGACGGGGCACACCTCAGCCTGCCAGGGTTTCCAGTCACTCTCATGTGCGGCCTGGCACGGTGGAGCTGCTGCCATCCGCGCGGTCCCTTGCCCTGCTGAAACCGGATGCACGGGTCACCCTTGCTCTGCCCTCACCGACCTCCCCGTCCTGGGCTGGCACATGGCTCGCAGGTACTCAAGGCTCCAAATTCAGCTCCCAGCCGGAGGGAAGTGGGTCCCATGCAGCTCCCACCCGCCTCCCTCCCACCCAGCGCACCCCTCTCCTTTGGGTCACCTTCCCGTGGGACCCGCAGGACCCCTCAGGGTGCCCAGCCTGCCAGGAACCACTCGAAGGGGAACGTGCTATGTCTGACCTGCAAAGCCCCAGGTGGCCAGGGGCCAGTGTGCCCCTGCCTGGCCCTGGCAGCCTGGAGACCAGCCTGGGTCTCCTGAGGGTCCCTTTGGCCAACGGGGACAGGGATATTCTCAGCTTGGCCCCAAAATAGCCAGTGACCTGGAGGGCTGAGATGGGAGTGCAGCTCCTTGGGCAGGCATTTGGGGAGGGTCAAGGGGGGGGGGGAGCAGGGCCAGGCAGAGGAGACCCCTCACATCCTGAGGGCTTTGTCTGGGGTTTGTGTGTCTCCTCTGACCCAATGCAGGGGGACAGTGGGGCTGTCACCCGCTGTGGCTGGGCACAACGGCAACTCCAGTGCCCACAGTGAGCCATCACTCGTGGGAGAAGGGAAGTGTTCCCCAGGTGCTCTGACTGGGATGTTCCTGCTGCTGTGCTGGTCATGGGCTTTATTTCCTGTGACCTTGAAGGTCTTATATAAAAGTCCCTCTCCCCTCTCCACCTCCTTCTCCCTCCTGTTTCCCCTACATGGTCTCCAAATCCATCACAAGGCGAATTGTGCTGATCTGCCGATGGCCAGGGATGAGCAGCGAAATGGGCCGAAGGTTATGGGCTTAACACCCTCCACGCGTCCACTGGAGGCTAAAAATACAGCCCAGCAACTGTACAGCAGAATCAGAAGGAGCATCTCGGCGGGGTGTGGATGGTGAAGCACCAGCACCCTCAGCCTCTGGCCCCAGCCCCTCGCCCCGCTGCCAGCCAAGGGTGACGTCCGCACCTGGGGCCCGTCGTGCGTGTCCCCGCAGACTCTGAGAGGGAGCGGGGACAGCCACGTTGTAAAGTGACACCGGGGCTCCCCTTGTTCGCACCCTGCATTGTGCCAAGTGGCCGGGTGGCATCAGAGAGGAGCCCTTGCCCCGCTCCCCTCAGGGACCTGACCTCCCAGGAGGTCCCTGGCTTGCGCTGCCTCTGCCCGCCCCGAATCTCATGCCTGTCTGCAGGGGCTGGGAGGGCTGTCAGCTGCCTGGGGACCCTTTCCCCAGTGGTGACAGCACCCTGGGGCACAGCTGCGGGGATGGAGAGCTCACAGCAGGGCTCTGTGTGCTACAGGATGCCACAGCTGGTTTGGACCCAGGAAAAGCCTGTGCAGAAATGATGGGGATGGCTGCCAGAGGCTGAACGTGACCCTGTCACGGTGTCCCTCCATCCCTGTATGGGGCCTTATAGAACGGCAACACCCCAGTGCCAAAATGGGTCCTCCAGGAGGGACAGCCCCCGAGGCTACGGCATCAGGGCAGGGGCTGGCTAGGAGGGACAGATGGGCACAGGTGGCCCTGGGAGGGACGCTCTCCCCCTCCAGCAGAAATAGGAGCCCTGAGCGTGGGGCTGGCAATGCTCAGCGCTGCGGGGATGGCTTTTTGCACGCCCCCTTCCCCTGCCCGGATCCCGACCCCTGTAGCGCAAAGGGGAGTTATCCACCATCTCCTGCAAGTCCTGCTCTCCCCTTGTCCTCCCAGTGGGGTTCTGGGGGGAGCTTGCACCCCAAACCTGTCTGCTGTCCCTTCCTTTTCAAGGAAAGGCAAGGCTGAACAAAGCCAAAGGCTGTGCTTTGTTCTGACGAAGCCCTTTAAAACCTCACAGAAAGTGGCTGGACCCAAGGACCTGCAGCCCCATGACACTTGGCCCTTGCCTGCCCTCGCCATCAGCTGCTGTGCAGGGTCTGCCAGGGAGGGGGTACAGCACCCGGGGATTATGACGCTCCGTGCTGCCACCAGCCAGCAGCCTGGCTGCTGGAAAAAGTCAGTCAAGGCAGATTAGCCCTGTGAGCCTGACCTTTCTGCAACCAATAACCCTTCCCAGGTGGGAGGCAGGGCCAGGGCAGCCCAAAGCAGGGGCCATGCCCCTCACCTGGGCTCAGGCCTGGGCACCCCAGCCTTGCAGCCCACCCCTCAGTGCTCGGCTGGAGCACAGCAGAGGATGGCATCCCCTCCCTGCCCTTCCCATGCCTCAGTTTCCCACTCTGCGCCATCCCGGCAGAGCCCGCTGCTGCTGCTGAGCCCCATGGAGGAAGTGCTGGTGTTTTATTGCCCGTGTTTCACACGGCAGCCCTTCAGCAGCCAGGGAAGGCAGGAGCCTGGCTCCAGCACCAATTTGGAGCCTCACTGACGGGGAGAGGAAAGTGTTCTGAAGTGGCTCAAGAAGCCCAGAAGACACAAGCACAGGGATGGCCAAGGGTGGGGTTGGCTCTCCAGATCGATGTGCACCCCAAAGCCCAGGATGCCCAACCACAGCATCCCATCTCAGAGGCTTCATGATCCCAAGGCACCAGCAAAAAGCAAATATTTCCAGTTTTTCAATGCAGAGCCCAGGGCACGTATAGCTTTGTTAGACTAACTTGACCTCATTTGTGGAGGAGATTTTAAGTTTAGTTGAAAAAAATATGAATTGATTTGATTTATATAAATAGTCGGCTAGAACTGCATGATATTTTGATTAAGAAAGGGTAGAGAAACCTCACCAGGAGGCACCAAAGGGATTAAAACCAGGCTTGGGGCTTTCTAAATAGAGAGATGAAAATGGGGAATCACTTCTGTGGGGTGTTTTTTTGACTGTCTCCCCACAGGGTGCCCACCTGAAAGATTTGGAAGAAAACTTGAACTACTGACTTGTGGAAGACACAAAGAGCAGGGCAGTGGAAGATAAAGCAGCCACCACTCCCTGGCCAGGGGAGATCTGGGTCCATAAGTGAGCAGACGGTGAGAAAACAGCATGTATTTCAGCACAGGCAGATGTCACACTGTACATCGAGGAACGTCTACCTGTGGTGTCCCTTGTGGGGTCCCCAGCCCGGGGTGGGATGCTGAAGAACCTGAGGGAAGTGCTGTGCTGCGGCTGGAGGAGCCCCTTCCTCCAGAGGAGGGACTCCTGAGAGGTCACCCTGGTCCTGTCTCTGGGCCTCCAGCAATTGGAGGCTTCACCAACCCACCACAGGGCTTCCCTGGTGGCCCCAGGGGACATCCTCCATGCACTCAATGTGAGTCTTCCTGGGTGAAGACTCCCCATCCCTCTTCTTTGATCATCCCAAGGATTCCTGGTCATCTGGGCAGGAGAGGGAGAGCCCTTGGACTTGTCAATGTGGATTTTAGTGCCTGATGATCCGTTGTCCCACAAGATTCTCAAATCATTGGGAATGTCCAGGCAGAGATGTTGCCTGGCCATGCCAAGCAGCAGTACCCAGTCCCGGGGGGTCTCACCCCCAGCAGCAGGACGGGGGATCCCATCTCAGCCATTGCACAGGGACGGGGCCACACAGCTCTGAGC